GCATTTGAACAGTCAATAGCAAATACTTAAACTAATAACAAAACAGTAGCTGATTCTGAATGACCTCCTCTCCTAGGTTCACAAAACGGTCGTCCATAAAATGCATTGCTGTTCTGTTGCAAGTAATCTTAAAGATTCCTAAATGCATCTACTTTCGGAAGGCCAAATAAAATGCTTTTGCTTTCGCCTAGAAACACACAGCGTCTCCCTGACATGGCTGCTTCAACACTAACTGCGGTTACTGAAACCACGCCTTCTTTCTTTGCGTGAACATTTGGGCGGCATTATGCAAATATTTCCACATAGTGAGGTAGATATGTGGGGGGTGTGTTAGAACGAGCCGTTTTAGGGGGGCGTGGCAGTCTTAACTTTGATAAAGAATATCTCTTTGGTTTTGAGACTTTTGTCTTTGCAACAACAGCTAAATACACAAAAGGTCAAAGTTAAAGGGGTCCTATTATGCTTTTTCACTTTTTCAACTGTAGATAGTCTGTAATGTTGCTGTGTGAGCATAAAAAAGATCTGCAAAGTTACAAAGCTCAAAGTCCAAATCAAAAGGAGATATTTTATTTAACAGAAATCACTTTTCAAAAACTACAACGAACGACTCGTTTGGACTACAACGCATATTTTCCGGGATTTGTGATATCACAAATATCGACGAATGAGTGGCCCAGCTAACCAATCACAGCACATTTCGTATTTCAGAAGGCGGGCTTTCATTTGATACAGGAACTATTCGAGCCGTTCATGCCAGAATGGGGAGAGGTGTTGTAAAATAATGTTTTTCGAACAACCTAATATGAGAGCCTGTTCTAGTACACCCCCAAAACAAAATCAAGACTTTGCAAAAGAGCATAATAGGACCCCTTTAAGTTATATCAATTAATAGCAATTACAAATTGCAATTACTAATAATGAACCATGTAATGTAAGCATTACCTTTTGTTCTTGCGTACTTCCCTTGACCAACAGTTGTCATGGAATACGGATACATTTGAGGTGCCTTCAAAAAGGAGAGAGGAAGAAAGAGTGAGCGCGAAGAAAAAAAAAAAGAAAATACATAACATTTTGCAAACCACTCTATAAAAATCTTGAATTTTGTCCGAAATTATCTATAAGCAGCAGGAATAGAGACCTGTACAGAGTGGCCCTGTATCTGGATGGGCGACATATAGCTCAGGTACGGAGTGTTGTAAATGGCTCCCTGGCCTGGCGGGGGCTGCAACACCACCGTGGGGCTGGGCGGAGTTGGTCGTGGCGGGGTCGGAGTGGCCGAGGGCTTCACCTGCAAATAAGACATGACACATTGGCTTGGCACATTTACCTTTTCAACAGCTGTATAGAGGAAATTAAATAGGGAAAATCAGTGCTCTCACCATGTTGAGAGGAGCCTTGGTGGGGTTAAACTCTTTGGCGTTGGGGTTGAGTGTAGATTTCTTCACTTGACTGTGTGGGAATACATAATGAAATGCCTTAATCACCAACATACTTAATACTAGTAGCTGTCAGATTTGACTTATTTACTAACTAATGTTCTACTCACTCAGCCATGCCCTCTGATCTCTCAGAGGCCTCCGGTTTGCCCTCCTCACTGCCTGGGGTCCTTGCAGGTTGGGGCGTCCCTGATGTTTGCCCTTCTGCAGTTGGATTTTGCATGGCAGTGCCAGACATGGCAGAGGGTGCAGAGATGGATGTGGCTGGTGGAGGGGTGGTGGTTGCCGCCCCCTCTGCATTTGTCTTTCTACTTCTATCCTCTGCTGGAAGCGCCGCAGTCGGAGTTGTGGGAGGGGCTGTTTTAGCTTCTGTTGGAGGGGCAGGGTCTGTTTGTGTGTTGTGGGCGGGGTTTGCTTGAGCAGAGTCCGTGGTCGCAGTTTTGGAGCTGGAAAGGTTGGAGCTAGATGGAAGCTAAAATCAGAAAAGAGAGAAAAAAAAATTAAAAAACACATACTATAGTTTCACATTCTGAATTAATTTAAGTAAAAAAAATTTTTTTTAAAAGGCTGCCACAATGCTTAAGTGTCCTGGGCGGTTGCCATAGTGTGCATTAGTGCACGCCCAATTTTTCCAGCAGCGTTGACTCCGAATTTTTTTTCTTATTTGAAAATTGGACAAAGACAAAGGTACAACACTGTACTTAGCTGTTAAGCACTACAAATAACAATTGAATTAAGAACAATGTTGAAGTATAAATCTATTAATTTTAATTTGGTGATTATATCTATAGAAACAATATATTTTAAATTTACTGCAACATATACATATATATAAATATTTTGATCGCACTCTAATGGTATTCTTGGGTGACTGCTGTTCCAAGGTTAATTAAAAAAATTAATACGAGACTAATGACACTCACAATAAAATCATTAGAAAACTTGCGAAGCTCCTCGAGTTGTGATCTCTGTTGGTCTGAATGGACTACAAAAAGAGAGCAAAGAAAATTTTTAGCTAAATGAGAAGTGCAGTGAAATTAATGAAAGAGTAATACAACTTCAGAATTACCTTTGCTGCTCTTGCCCTCCTGAGGACTAGCTGGACTCTCCATCCTTTCCTTCGACAGGATTTCATTCACTGAAGTGACAGGAAGAGAGTCAGATTGTTGGATGCATGTACAATTGAACAGAGTGTAACCACTCAAATTTGTAACATCTCACCATCTACAGGGAACAGAGGGGTCGGTCCAGTGGGTTTGGAGGTCACCATAGTAACCGAAGAGGTATCCAAGAAGGTAGGATTAGCCAGAGGAGGGTCCTGGGAAGGAGCATCTGTTTTAGGGGAACGAGAGACTGGAGAGAGAGAGAGAGAGAGAGAGAGAGAGAGAGAGAGAGAGAGAGAGAGAAAAAAAGGTAATCATGTTAATTTAAGAGAAAAAAAAGGGAATGGAGGTTGGAAATACAAACATTTTCAATGACATTTTTTTATTTTTTTTTTGCATTTAACTGATCAAAAGGTGACAGACAATTATAATGTTACAAAAGATTTCCATTTCAAATAACTATTCTTTTGAACTTCACATTCAAATAATCTTGAAAAAAAACTATCATGGTTTTCACAAAAATATTAAGCAGCAAAACGTTTTAACATTAAGATATGTTTCTTGAGCACCAAATAAACATTAGTATGATTTCTGAAGGATCATGTGAGACTGATAACTGCAGTAATGATGCTGAAAATTCAGCTGTCAATAAATTACATATAATAATTTTACAATATTACAGTTTTACTGTACGTTTGATCAAATAAATGCAACCTTATTACAGACCTCAAACTTTTGAATGATATATCATATTATTCAAACAAAAAAAATTACATGAGAGAGAGAGAGAGAGAGAGAGAAAAAGGTAATCATGTTAATTTAAGAGAAAAAAAAGGGAATGGAGGTTGGAAATACAAACATTTTCAATTACATTTTTTTATTTTTTTTTTGCATTTAACTGATCAAAAGGTGACAGACAATTATAATGTTACAAAAGATTTCTATTTCAAATAACTATTCTTTTGAACTTCACATTCAAATAATCTTGAAAAAAAACTATCATGGTTTTCACAAAAATATTAAGCAGCAAAACGTTTTAACATTAAGATATGTTTCTTGAGCACCAAATAAACATTAGTATGATTTCTGAAGGATCATGTGAGACTGATAACTGCAGTAATGATGCTGAAAATTCAGCTGTCAATAAATTACATATAATAATTTTACAATATTACAGTTTTACTGTACGTTTGATCAAATAAATGCAACCTTATTACAGACCTCAAACTTTTGAATGATATATCATATTATTCAAACAAAAAAAATTACATGTAGGCCTGTGACAAATTGACTTTTTTCCTAACAAATAATCTTAATATTATCACTAAAACAAGCATAATTGAATCACTGCTGAACTGTAAATAAACACTTGAGGGTGTTTTACTCAATTTGCATTTAGGCAGTAACAGCTAAAAGGTTGCATTGTTGCGGTTGATAAATATGTAGTTATTACTAACCCGCGGTTGATAAATATGTAGTTATTACTAACCCACTGTAAAATATAAAGAGTACAATGGACACAATTAAAGGTTAAAGATGACCCTGGGTTATCAATTTTAAATGTTAAAAAGTCCACAAAGCTTGGTTGAAGGCATGTGTATATTGTGTGCACGTGTGTGTATTTTAACCTGTAGGAGAGGAGTGAGAGTTTGAGGTACGCAGGTTTCTGTTGGTCTGTCCAGGCCTTTGAGACTTAGGTGACATTCTGGATGACACTATAAGAGATTGACGCAATGTTCAACACCATCATAAACATCGAAAATGATGTGTCGCTTGCACACGCAAAACTTACCTCCATTGACAGGCCGGGCCGAGTCTGAGAGAGACTGTGGGTGTGAGAGCGAATGCGGGAGTGTGTGTGGGGAAGGAGGGCTGGAGTGACCCGGCTCTGAGGGGCGGGGCTGCGTAGGGAGGCTGCTCTGTGATTGGTGTGTAGAGTATCCTCCTCTGACAGACAGAGGGCTGCTCCTATCAGTGGGAGGAATGGGCTGACCACTACCAGAGGCGAGAGGTCTAGGCGAGGAGCTTGAGGGGCCAGGTCTATTTGTTCGATTAGGCAGGGTGGATACAGCGCCTCCTCTTTCGGCCCTTCCAGAAACTCCCATTTCTCTCTCCCTTGCCCGCTGGGGTAGAGGAATGTACTTGCCATCCCTAAAACAAAGATACAGACAGCAATGATCATCAGTATACTAAGGAGAAAGACTAGATGAGATAGTGATGGAAAGAAAGACTGCTTCGAACCTGCTCCCAGCACTGGAGAACCCAGGACTATCTCTTCCTCTTTCTCCTCCATCACGGTCTCTGTCCCGAATCACAGCACTGTATTTGTCTTCCTCAGTTCGTCCCTCATCATTCTCCAGCGACACCCTGCTGCGATACTGCGTACTAGCCTCAATCTCATTGGCCAATCGGGCGGCTCGAGCTTCTCTCTGTCTGAAGCCCTCAGAGCTGCCCCGCTCCAGAGGAACCCTAAAAGAGATAGGCAACAGAACATGATATTTACTTGATTTCTTTGAACAGGGTTTCAGCATAAAAAAAAAAAAAATCTAATTTAAGACTTTAAGGCCTTTAAGACCTGTGCATATTCACAGGCACATCCTGAGACTTTAGTAAATGAGGCTTTGTTACATCATAACTATTTTTGAAATGTCAATGGTTCACCGTAAAGTGGCGATCTATGTGAACTCAAACTAGTTTCTATGAGTTTTTTGTTAAAATATACAAAATATAATCAAATACATTTTAAAATATACAAAACTTCTGTTTAATCTAAATATAGGCATTAAGCCGTATCATGATTTGTGTTTTTCCATGCCCAAATTTAAGACCTCTTAAGATAAGACTTTAGTTATACTGCGTAAGATATTTAAGACTTTTTACAAAAATACAATAAAACTGAATTAAAGATATTAAAGGGGTGGTTGATTGCGATTTCACTTTTTTAACGTTAGTTAGTTTGTAATGTTGCTGTTTGAGCATAAACAATATCTGCAAAGTTATGAAGCTGAAAGTTCAATGCAAACGGAGATATCGTCTTTTAAAATTCTGGCAGTTTAATGCCTACAAAAACGGCTGGTAGGGACTACAACAAGTTACTTCCCGGGTTTGTGACGTAACAAACCCAGATAAACCCCGCCCCCGGGAAAAGGCAGCAGGGGGCGAGGCCATGCTGCGCTGCTTTAGAGAAGAGGAAGAGAAAACTAGAGGTGCACGTAAAAATCGAATCGTATATGAATCGTGATTCTGTCTTCTAACGATTCTAATGGATTCACAAGTTTAAAATCAATGTTATAAAGCAGCGGTTCTCAATACTGTTCCTCGCGTCCCCCTGCTCTGCACACGCTCTGCATCTCTCTCTCTCTCATTCAGCTCAGCAATGAACTGTTACAATTATATACTTATTTTCACATAGTTATGAGAAGCGTTAAACATGGACGCACGTGCAGTTGCCACTGTATTAAAGCTTTAATCAGGATAAAACAGTATATTATAAGCTAACATAAGCAGTAGCATTTACAAATAACAGCATATCTAAAAGTATGAGACAACAACAAACAAAAAACATAGGCCTACCATTAAAAGCCGTGCTTGCACAGGTTCTGCACAATCCTCTTCACTAATATCCTTTTGAAGGACAGAAGGATTTTCCACTAGGGTTGCAACAAACGATCATTTTGATAATCGATTAATCGACTAATAATCGATTATTTCACTGATTAATTAGTAGACTTTGATTATTCAGCTTTTGCAATTAGTTAAAATATTGAGTTATACATATTCTAAAAATAAAGGTAATCACTTCAGCCTTTGAAAATCATATTATGTACTTACAATTATTATACAATTCATTTATACAAAAATATATTTGGCACACAAAATGAGATGACAGAGAAACTCTCTCATTCACTATTTAATAAGCTATATGAAAAAGTAACTGAATGACATTATTCTGCCAAACATCTCCTTTTGTAAGCCATATAAATAATAAACATAATAAAGGTAAGTGATGAGACGTTTTATTTTTGGATAAACTATTTTATTCACAACAAAATCTCTCTTAAAATACTGTATAGAGTTATGATAATCAAAACTGTCCTGAGCTAGATCAAGCTTTGAACTCTACAAACCAAACTTTAACACCACTTTAATAAAATAAAATAAAAATTCCACTAATAAAAAGATTTTATCATTAGCTAGCTCCACACTGGAGAGCTGCTTTAAAACAGAAAATCAAGTTGTAATTCTTACTAAAAGCAACACTGACTCTGGTTTTCATGTTTAATACTGTAAAGCTGATTGATTTAAGGCTATCTATTGCATAAAGTACTATTTAAATACATGTGATGTGACTGTACTTTTCTGGAGCACTGAACTGCAGAGCTCGTGCAAACATCCACATCACTGTAATCAGATGCGTTTTTAACTGCTGCTTTCACACCACTGTCAGTTTTTGTTGTGTTTATTTCATTATTGAGAGGAAAGCGTGCAGCATATATTTACATATTTAGCCAAACACTGCTTAGCAGCTTCAGGTTCGGCTGCGTTTGCTCCATAGACTGAATAAAAACATGGACATAGTGTCCGTGATGTCACCTGAAGGGCATTTTTGAAGCCTAAAGTAGGCAGAGCCGGTCGTCGCCATCTTGGCAATCGAAAATGGGCAAAGGCAATCCACCTGTCACTCAAGTGACCACGCCCTTAATTATGCAGAACTGTAAGACTTAATATAATTTAAACGGATGAGTTAAAAAAAACAAAATAAAAAATAAATCACGCCCCTCGCAGTTGTCATGAAAAGCAAAATTAGCTATATAGACCAAAACCGCTTTTAGTACCAGGCTGTAAACATTTTTTTCTGCTGTAAAGTTTGGCATTTTAACATGGGGGGTCTATGGGACTGACTCCCTTTTGGAGCCAGTCTCTAGCGGCCAGTCAATGAATTGCAGTTTAAGCCACTTCCATGTTGATTTCAAGAGAGAGATCAGAAGGTTGCAGCTTAGTTTTCTCTGAAGCACTGTGTCTTCTTCTCTTGAATTGCATCCAGGAGAGCTGAATTACAGTCTTGCACTACAGTGCCACACTGGTCAAACTGCATTATTGCAGGCTCTTACATTAGGTCACATGAGATCAAACGACTACTCGACAACAAAAATATTTGTAGACAATCTTTTATGGTTGATGTTGTTGATAATGTCGACTAATCGTTTCGGCCCTATATTCCACATCCAACATTCAAAGTAGGGCTGTGCGATATGGACAAAAATAAACTATCGCGATTTCTTCGATTTTAACACACAGACATGCTTTACAGTCATTAATGCATTCAGTGTGAATTTGAAACATATTTCCAAAAGAAAACCAATTAGAGCTTTATCAAAAAGCTGCAACATGTCTCTAGAACAAACATAAGGCAAAATAATGACTAAGTAAAGGTTTAACAAAATGTCTCTAGAATAGACATATGGCAGAAAAAAGAAAAAAAATCCTGTGTCCAGGGATTTTTTTTTGCCATGCATTGGTCATAGAGCTCTGGACCGCAATCGCATGCAGTGTGAACACTCTGATCCGTTAACATGGGCGCGGAAAAAATACGCACCACAGACGGAGTGTGTGAACCTGGTGTTACGTTTGTATGCCCGCCCGGTCTGTTCTGTTCTCGTGCTCCATATAGGCGCTATAAAGTGATTTAGAAATCGCGCAAGCTCAAATCGCGATTTTATGACGAGTTCGATTAATCACACAGCCCTAATTCAAAGGTCAGTCTTTCTGAGAAAAAAAAAAAAAAGGCTAAAACTGACAGAAGATCAACGTACGTGTACATGGAGAGACTGGCGTCATAGGTAGACTTCACCCCATAGGTCTCCTCATTGAAGCGGAACATCTCGCTGGCATCCCAGCCATTAGACTGAAAGACAGAAAAGGCCATGTAAAGAGCTTAAAGCTGTGCAACCAATACTTAAAGAAATTGATTCCAAAAATACACTAATATGTGATCACATATGATTGGATATACAAGCATGTTGGTTGAACTCACTGCATCTGCATCCAAGTCAAAATTTTCTCCATTACTATCGCCACCATCCCACCTTTGAAGCACCTTCTCTCTGTGGTCCCCATTTATTCTTGAGCCGATTGCGGAGTCTGTAAAAGTGTCTGAAAGCATGCACACAAAGCCTTATATTTCTATATTTTACAACACCATACATGTATACTACTTCTACGGAGTCATGTACACACCTCGGGTAGCATAGTTGAGGTCCACATCTCTGCAGATCATAGTGACGAGGTCATTAGGCCCAAAGATCATGGTGTCCGTGATCTCTTCTCTCCTGGGATGGACTGGTGTGCCTCCGCCTCCATCTCCTTCTTCATTTTTCACTTTGTGCACTGCGTCCACTGCCAGCTCACACTAAACATACAAAGACACTGAGTGAGACTTTATCATACATTAAACTTGATGCTTTGCTCATAGATCACCAACAAAAAAAAGTCAATATCAAAGATTAAATTTGGATTAACAAATCTGAACTTGGTTCAGTGTGAACAAAGCCCAGAATTCTATATTTCAGGTTTTGAAATATTAAATAAAAGAAAGACTTACACGCGAGCTTAACGTCTTGAAGACTCCCTCATATACACTGCCATTCTTCACCATAACATCGCATCTGGAGCCCTGAGGGAAATATTGCATGCGTGTAAAGTATTTTGTTGTTTAATGCGGAAAACAAATTAGAGAAGTGATGGGGTAAATCATATAAAATTTTTAATAATCCAAACAAGCATAACAATAAGGCAAAACTTTTTACTTTGACAAAACAGGGTTCCCACTGTCTAGACAAGCCTGGATATATGAGGTAGACTACTTTTAAAAGTGTGATTTCCAGACCTGTGAACATCATGTAAATTAATGAAATGGTCATAAAACTCCATGGGCTTTGAAAAAACGATATTATATATATTTTAGTTATTAAATACTTTATCAAGTAGAAATTGAGTTCTTATCCAGTAAACCACAAAATCAAAAAGAAAAAAAAAAGAAGTTCTTATTCAGTAAATCAAAATCAAAACAAATGAAGAAATCATGGGCCCTTCGAATATTGTTGTGGGCCCTGAAGTCAAAAAGGCTGTGAACCAAAAAAAACATTGAAGTTATCAAAGAAGGGTGTTTTCAACAGGCAACAAATAAACAAAAAGTTGAACAATTTATTTCATCCCAAACTCACCACCACAGCTGTGAGAAAATGGAGCATCCGGGAGTTGTTGTACACACCCTCAAACACCTAAAAAAGAAAAAAAAAGAAAAGTAGTACATACAAAAATCTTTTAGCATTTGGTGGTCCAAAAATGCAGTCAAATATTTAGAGGATACCAAGGCATTTTATAATCTTAAATGGGAAATTGTGAGTCTATAAATGTGTAAGGATTTACGTACTGGTGGTGACTGTGAGGGAGTCTTCACAGAGTTTCTGTTTCTTCATGACAAAAAAATAAAAGAAAATAATTAGTTATATATATAAAAGTGTGTGTGTTGCACCATGCAAATCAGCAGGAACGTCAAAAACGAACAAACTATAACAGATTTCTGTATATTAAGCATTTATTGTATTCATGAGCTACATCAAATCATAACTAGAATGTGAAACACAGCCCCGGTGTTGCAAGCATTGCTCTACTGTTACATGTGTGGACAACAATAATAACACCGAAGCGCGTGGTAAAACAAAAGGACAATCATACACGAGCAACAAAATAACGATCAGATTGAATCTGACTGCACAGCACGACAAAATATTATAGTGCAATGTCAATGTGTAAACAAAGCCAACCAAGCGCGTTTTAATTACGTCAGACCGCACAAGCGAGTTATTGGAGCCCGCAAACACCACAAGCAAATGCCGTATCGAAGACAAGACAAACAGCTTGACATTAACGTGCCTAAACGTACACATTTCGCACCCCTGACTACAATCAATCAAATCGATTATAAAATACGAATGTTTGTACTTTGTCACGTGCATCCCGGCTCTTCTTTGAAGGCGTAAGTCTAAAATGGCTCAAGTTGAAAGTCGAGCACAATACTGAATCATATGGGATCGGAAAACAACAACAAAACACTGCTGAGCCCTTCCCTATGACCCGCCTCCGAGAGCAGTCATAAGCTGGAAAAGATGGCAGTCAATTAAAATCTCAATTCTACTGGTTGACAACATTATTTCTGGGTGGATGTGTACCGATTACGACGATCTTTTCAATCATTGGCTCAAAATTGTGTCACTCAAACATTCTTCGCTGCGATTGGCTAGTGCTCCTGCTAATTTAACAAGACCCGGCGTTCTAGGGAGTAGATTAAGTATGCGCTATGGACACGCCCACTTAGACCGGTAGGCCTCGTGTTAAAATGACAATCCGCGGACTTTCTGAGCGGGGCAGCCCAACTTGTGCTTTACCTGCCCGGGGTGGGTCTGTTAGAGTTACTCCCCGGAACGGATGAAGCCATTGACCCTGAAGTTCCATTGGATGTTTTGCGGCCACCGGGTCCAGGTTGCTGTCAGAAAGCAGAACGATTCTTAAATGCTGACACAAATTAAGTATTGAGCAAATTTACGTATATTTAAAAGTCTAGCCGAGTGGTAATGGCTAGCAGGTTTACTAGCACGTTACGTTAAATACGAATTTGGAAGCTTAATGGAGAACGACAATATTTGGACCATAAAATCTAAGGAGTTTTAATATTCTCGATTGTATAATTAGTAAATATTAAGTGCAATTTTTAGATGTGGTACTCACGTTCTGTCGGCGAAAAGACATAACTAGCCGCTAACTGAGTTGCCCGCTAAATTCCGCTTGTTGTCTATGACAAGCTAGGAGGTGGACTAGCCTGCCCGCGGTGTTATTTTGTTGTTTTTCCGCAGCGTTCTCAGATCCGCACGAGCGCGATCTCCGTTATAGCCCGAAGTCCAGTTCAGTCCGATATTCTGTCACGAACAGGACACGAAGAGATAAGCCTTATTTTTCTATTAAATATTGCCGGCACCACGTCTCGCGAATAAGCCAGCGATAAACGCGAAGGCTGTTTTTTTCAAAACCCCTTGATTGTCATTGGACGACGGCGTAAAACGTAGGGTGATGACGCAATGGCGTACAAGACCCGTATCACGTCGACAGCCACACATTAAAGTTTAAACGTGCTTTGCAAAAGAATCGTCCATACTAATAAGAAAAGTGCAGTAAAGTCAAATTTCTCAGTTCATCTATCTATACATCACAAACAAAACTCAAGACATATTGTTTCAGTATAATTATATTATATCATATCATCATCATCATTTAATTCAATGTAGTACCTGAAACTAATTACACAGAGTGGGCAACAATGCCCACCTTAACACACGGTCCCAGCACAGACAGACAGAGAGAGAAGAGAAAAGAGAGAGAAGGCACAATAAAAGGGGGGAGCATGGGGCAAATGGAGAGAAAACAAATCATAAATGATCTGTAGGATCAAGAAGAGACCTACTGAAAAAGCTGAGAACAGAACAAGAGAGACAAAGCAGGAGAATACAGATGCAGGCACTGAACTGGATGGCAGACACCGCAAAAAGACTGATTGAGGCACAAAATCAAGAATGACTGGCACAAAACAAGAGGGAACGACAATTAACGACACGAAAAGGCACAAGAAGAAAGGGGCTCTTTATCTTTTTTTTCCTTTTCAAAAGTTTTCCTGAAATCCGTGGAAACCGAAGCACAGTTTGAAGGAGACAGCAGTGGGACAGAGAGGTTAGAAGAGATAAAAAGGCACAAAAAATTAGAAACAGAAAACAGATTTTGGAGAACAAATATTGTGTTCATATAATAAACAACAAAAATAAAGGCATTTTGAAACAAACAAACAAAAAATAATACTATTATTTGGACAATTATTAAATTCATAATTATTATCATTTTTGTATTCAATAATAATTTCTCTTTTAAATGAAGGACATTCTCTCTCTCTCCCTCCTCTGGACTCTAGCTTAAAAAAAAAATAAAACCAATAAAACCAAAGACTGTAAAGTTAAAAGGAAGGGTAGGATGTAAAGACAGAGAGGCACAAAGAGAGGGAGAGCAGAGGAGCTGGGCAACAGATCAGGACTCTGAGGTAATAATGGAGACTATGGAGATGTTTAATATGGTAATTAACCTTAAGAAGTAATACTACTGGACTTCAGAGAATTGGGCTTGAATGTTTTTGGCAAAAAATGGACGTTGTTAAACTTGAAGCAATGCCTGCTACTGAACTAGCAAAATCAGTACAATTGAAATGAAAAGTTATTAATTTGTGACATTCGTAATTTGTCAGTGGCAGAACAAAAAGAAAACAGCTTAAAAAGCTTCAGTAATAATAATAATAATACTAATAACAAGAGTGCTGGTGTGTAACAATCTCCGCTCACCTGAGGGGAAAAAGAAACTCCTTTTCTATAAGTGCGAAGGGTCAAAGAATACTAGACATCTAAATCAATAAGTGAGTCTGACACTGTAATGACTTGACATTGCGATGACGTGAAGGACTCTTCAAGAAATAAGTTGCTAAAAACACAACACTAGCTTAGTGTGGGCGCTGACACTTTCGTACCTTCCTTATGCAGCAGCGCCAGAGGAACTTTCGCACTGACAAACACTGGAGAACGAATTAGTAAAAGCTGACCAACATTTTCACAATGCACCTCCAATTTAGTGTAGTACCGTTACTTAGTGTTTAAAAAAAAAAAAGTACCGTCAGTATCATATATGCTTATGTGTTTGGGTGTCTCTCTCTCTCTTTCTCTCCATCTCTCTCTCGCACCATGAAAGCTCATGTTTAATAGTGTTAATAACTCAGTCGTGTGACCCATCGGTCAGTTCTTCCACTGGAGAATACTGAAAACTGATTGTGAAGGGCTCTCCTCTATCCCACCTCGTTGTTCTCCCCGTTTTAGAAGAAGGAGTACTGGTTGTCGATGGCTCTCGCTCTCCCTCCTTCTCTCTCCTCGCCCTCCACCCCTTCCAGCTGGAGGAGAGGTGGCTCTTTCTCTCCATCTCTCTCTCGCACCATGAAAGCTCATGTTTAATAGTGTTAATAACTCGTGTGACCCATCGGTCAGTTCTTCCACTGGAGAATACTGAAAACTGATTGTGAAGGGCTCTCCTCTATCCCACCTCGTTGTTCTCCCCGTTTTAGAAGAAGGAGTACTGGTTGTCGATGGCTCTCGCTCTCCCTCCTTCTCTCTCCTCGCCCTCCACCCCTTCCAGCTGGAGGAGAGGTGGCTCCCGCTCCCGTTCCTCGCACTCTTCCGCCCCGCTGCTTGCACCGGCGGCCTCTGTTTCGCTCCCTCGTTCCTGCGGCGGGGTTGGGGGCGGAGGGCGACCGGGAGGCAGAGGGGGAGGAGGTGGCTGAGGAGGACTACGGGGTCTGCTGGTCAAGTCTGAGAACAGCAACAGAGAGGAGAACCAGTACAGGAGGTGAGAGGGATGAGAATTAAATGTGTACAAGACAAAAAAATTGAAAGTAATGACAATAAGATGCAAGAAAATCTCAGCTATGACACATGCTAGTAATGGAATCGGTCAACACATTGCACAGACTGTTCACACCCTGCCTCCACTAAACAGCCGTTAAGAGTCATCGATTGATTGCATTCGTTACATACGGACTCATTGAAACATCCCGAATCACGTTTATATGGAGACAGAGCTCACTGTCTACAAATGTGTGACATTTAATAAAGATTACGATTAATGCAAGCTATAGTGAGCAAATGTTAAATGAATGTGTTACCCTGCGACACACATTTCAGGATGGATGTGTGCAACTGAAACCCAGCTGTGAATGAGGAAGTTAAGCAGACAGATGTGCACTGAAGTGAACGGATGACCTGTCTCTACTCCTTTTCTGCCTTATTCTAACAAGCTTCCTCTTCCTCACATCCTGTATTCCTCAAAATGTTTCCCACAATTTACTCTTTCATCTATCATCGCAGTTGCCATGAAATTAAAATGGACCCTTTTTACGTCCTTAATACAGTTTCCTCATCTTATGCAAATGTAAAAAACTGAATGTTTTTATATTTGCGTAATGTATAGTTGCTCTGTACATTGGAAATGACTGATTTGCATGATGACACCCGCTTTGATGATTCAGTCCAGTCCCACCCCACATTTTTCTCATTAAATATATTATTTCACTAGGAAACACACGACTATTATTTGAGGTCGGTAAGTATTGTTTTTCTTTAAAGAAATTAATAATTTCAGTGACAACATTAAATAAAAAGTTTAAAAATTACATTATTAAAAAGGTTTTAAATAATTGCTGATCTTTTGAACTTTCTATGCATCAAAGAAATGTAAAATAGTTTCCAGGAAATATAAAGCAGCACAAATGTCTTCAACACTGGTAATAATAATAAAATGTTTATTGAGCTGCAAATCACCGTAATAAAATGATTTCTGAAGGATCATGTGACACTGGAGAGACTGGAGTAATGATGCTGAAAATTTAGCTTTGCCATCAGAGCATTAAATTACATTTTTAAATATATTAAAATAGAAAACAGGTATATTAGATTGTAATAATATTTCACAATATTACTGTTTTATTATATTTTTGATTTAAAAAAAATGCAGCCTTGGTAAGTATAAGACTTGCTGACCCAAAAATTTTGCACAGTAGTGTAATTTTTAAAAGTTAAATGGGCTATAAATGCTTAAGATACAATAATTTAGTTTTCAAATGACAATTTCCTTCCTGTATCTGACACTTAGAATCAAACAAGCTGTTTTTAGTGCTGTATCTTTAATATTTTTATGTGTTTAATTTGCTAACCCCCATGTACCAGTATGATTTTCAGACCTTCTCTATCTACCTCTCTCTGTTGAATCTGGTCTCACTTACACACAGTCAGAGATGGGGGTTGATGGAGAGTCGGGGTGGCGCGTGGTGATGACATCACAGACTGTGGGGCGGCTGCCTGCCCTTTCCCGGCCTGCGAAGATGACCCAACGACAAACAACAACAGAAACAGCCAATCAGAGCTCTGATATGCACTATGGAGAAAGCCAGAGGCTGAAGCGGGATGAGGGGAGGGAGAGGAGCCAGAGGTACACTATGAATTAATGAGTGACCAGAGATTAAAATGAAGGAAGGCAATGGTGATGGAAAGAAGAATGGAAGATAGTAGAAGAATAGGAGAAAAGATGCACTGAAGGAGAAGTATAAATGTAGCGTCTAGATCAGGGGTCACCAAACTTGATCCTGGAGGGCCGGTGTCCTGTAGAGTTTAGCTCCAACTTGCCTCAACACACCTGCCTGCAAGTTTCAAGTATACCTAGTAAGAGCTTGATTAGCTGGTTCAGGTGTGTTTAATTAGGGTTGGAGCTAAACTCTGCAGGACACCGGCCCTCCAGGACTGAGTCTGGTGACCCCTGGTCTAGATTATATAAAGTGATGAAAAGGAAATACAGGATGGAGGGCATGATGAGGAAATGATAGGTAAGGTGAGCTGAGAAATGTTTTGAACGTTTCAAGAGAAGTTTAGTCTGGTAATATGTCAGGTCAAACACACAAAAATCAAATTAAGACAATCATTTAAAAAAAAAAAAAAAAAAAAGAAAACCCATGCACACCTA